CAGGGGCTGCTTCACGTTGCTGCTGATCTCTCCCGACAGCTCCTCTACTCGCCGGTGGAGAACATCCAGCGCGTGGCAGCGGGTGTCCTGTGCGAGCTGGCCCAGGACAAGGAGGCAGCAGATGCCATCGATGCCGAGGGGGCCTCAGCTCCACTGATGGAGCTGCTGCACTCCAGGAACGAGGGGACGGGTGAGTGCTGCCATGTGCCCAGGCCCTCTCCTCTGCCTGGCATCGCCCCGGCTGGGGCTTCTGGTGCTTCGGTGCTGCACGGCGCCGGGAGCTGAGGCTGTTCCCTCCCCCTGCAGCCACCTACGCAGCTGCCGTGCTCTTCCGAATCTCGGAGGACAAGAACCCTGACTACAGGAAGCGTGTCTCCGTGGAGCTCACCAACTCCCTCTTCAAGCACGACCCGGCAGCCTGGGAAGCGGTGAGTGTCCTGCTGGGTGTGGGGACGAGCCCTTTTCCCCAGGGAAACTGGGGCCTCTTGGCGTGGCCCCCTCCTGCCTCCAAAAGCTGCCACCGCTGCCTCCGAGCGAACCTTGGATGGGAGTGACCAGCAAATGGAGGAGGTGGGGGTGGAGGGGCTGTGCCTGCAGCTCTCCCGCAGCTCTGGGTCATGGTACCTGCTGCCTGGGACGGGGCTGGGCATCATGCACTTGTGAACACGGGTCCCCTCTTCAATGGTGTCACCTTCTTTCCTAGGCTCAGAGCATGATCCCCATCAACGAGCCCTACTCAGATGGTGAGTGCGGCACCGGCTCTTCCTGCGGGGTCCCCCGTGGGCTCTGCTCTCGTGGGGAAGTTGCCTCCTCTCACCAAACCAGGCTGGTTTGAAAGGCTTTCTTGGGTGGCTGCCAGCAAAATGCCTGCCTGGGGGTGCTCAGTGGGATGCTTGGCTCCCCAGCGAGCACGTCCAGCTGCTCCCCTGTGCTGGGGCTAGCCCAGAGCCTGGGGGGAGGTGGGTGGTAGGTGGCCTTGTGTCCTTTGCACCACTGCCCTGTGCAGGGGGACACCAGGAGGGTAGCTGAGGGCTGGAGAAGTCTTTTGTCCGTGGGGAGAGCTGAGGTTGCCACATCCCTTCCCTGCAGAGCTGGACCCCGGCTACCGCCCCATGTACTCGGGTGACATCCCGCTGGACCCCATCGACATGCACATGGACATGGACGGGGACTACCCCATGGACGCCTACAGCGACGGCGTCCGAGCGCCCTTCGCTGACCACATGCTCGCCTAACCTGCCCCCCAGCCCCCACACCAGGTACCCCTTATGGAGGGCACGCTCGGCCCTGGAGAGGGGCTGCGTGGCCGGGGAGGCAGGGCTGGCTGCTGGCACACGCTGTGCCACAGTGTCCCTGGCAGTGCCCCCTGGGCTCGGGGTGGCCCTGGGGCTGGGGTCTCCTCCAAACCCCCCTCGGTGAGTAACAGGAGCTCTCTCCTGCTCCACGCAGGTGTTTTCTCCGTACAGAAGAGGGTGGCCCCAGAGCTGAGCATTCACAAGAAGGACTTGGGAGACAGAAGTGCCTGAGAAGACAAACTTTTCCATTCCCACGAGAGGTTTTATTTTTCGATTATTTTTTTTTTTTCTTCTTCGCTGTGGGTCTGTGGAGAAGGTCCTTCCTCCTGGGACTGCTTTGAGCACCTACTGCCGCATCCAGCATCCAAGATACTGTTTCTGAAGCTTTAAAATACACAAACCCTGCACCGTTAGCGACTTTTCATTGGCAAAATAGTCTTTTCTATGAATATATATTTCTTTTTTTATTTTTAATATGGTGCCAACGGCTCTTGCCGTCTTTAAGTTTGTGCTTTCTAACCTCCCCACTATCTGTTCTGCGTGTTAGTGTTCTAGGAGAGGAATCTAACACGGGGAAAACCCTTTGCTTTCTGCCAACTCTGACTTAAATCAGGCCAATCCAGAGTTTGCTGAAACCGAAGGGTGCCGTGTCCCAGGACCTTCGTTTTAGCCATCGGGATGTCTGTGGTTTAACTCTTTCCCATCAGCCGTTGGGGAGCTGACTCTGTGTACCCGCCTATCCTCCCAGTACCCATAGAGGAGTGACTCCAGCATTAGGAACCGTGTCCTTGTACTGATCTCTGTTGCACATTTTAACCCGTTTCCCTTCTTTTTTTGGTGAGTGGTGTGTTTCCGTCCCCTCCTCCCTTATCTAACACATTTTTTAAAGAGGCTCTAGATCTGATGGTGGTTTAACGCTTCCACCGGAAAGGGATGGATAGTTACTGGAGCGTGGTTCAGGAATGGAAGATTTTATTATTTCTGTAAGTTGTTTTTGTATAGACCAAAGCAAAGAATAAAATAACCCCCCCAGCCCCGCGTTGCCCTGAGCCTGTTCTTCTGTCGGCTGGGGAAGGTCAGTGGGTCCATGTGGGGCAGCCGGGGTGAAGGTGGCCATTGCCCTCCTTGGGCTGGTCCTGTGGGGCTGGATGGCCTTGGGTGAGCTCCTTCTCATGCTCTGTACCCGCTGTGGCTGGGGGGGGACAAGTGGGCTGGGACCCTCCCTGTGCCTGGGGGATGATGCTCAACAGGACACGGGGCACCCCCTCACAGCACCAGCCCTGCACCCGGACTCGCTACCAGCCCTTCCCTCACCCCTCACCGTGCCGGGTCCTTGGCATACCAGCCCCGTCCGGGCGTCTGTCTGCTTTCCCAGGAGGTAAAAACTCCCGGTAATTAAGATGTTTGTTCATTAGGCAGCATCACTGTGCAGAGCTGGCTTTAACGAGCTCTGGAGGATAAACGCGCCGGTCGGGAGCGAGCCCCGCTGATTGATGGAGCGAAGCCTTGGATGGAGCCACAAGAGGCCAGGTTAAAAAAGTGATTTACTGAGTCAGACCTGGTTGCCTCTTTCTGCAGCCCGGCTCCGTGGCGGGAGCAGATGGCAGGAGGAAATATTCCCAGCTGAAACCCTGGCTCTGGCAGCTGCGCCCGGGGAGGGCGATGGGGAAGCGGCGCCGGGCAGGGATCGTGCCAGGACGTGAAAATTGTCTCTTCACAAAGTTACCCACTGACTTCAGGGCTGCCCATGTGCTTGGTGGCCTCCTCGGCACGGGGATGGGGCCAGGGACAGACACTGCTGGCTGCCCCAGGCTGTCCCAGGGGACAGGATGAGCCTGGAGGCAAGAGGTTGCCAGCAGCAGCTCCACAGGGGGCTGTGAGGTCTGATACTGGGGTGTACGTGTTGGGGGTGAAAGGGTGAAACACAGGTGGCCCCAGGACACCAACCTTCATGTCCCTGGCAGGTTTGTACCTCTGCTCAATGTGGGGGACAGCTGGGGATGTGGAGGCTCCCTGGGCAGGGGTGGGGGACCTGGAGAGGGGAGTTGGGTCACGCAGCCCCGTGTCCCTGCGCCGGTGGCTTGGGGTGCTGCGATTGCTGCATCGGTGTCACCCACCACCGTGATACGGGGAGGCAGCTGGAGAGCCAGGGCATCATCCCTGACCCCCCCTGGCTCTGAGCTCTGCCTGCTGTGACACAGCTCCTCCTGTGCAGCCACTGGAAGACACTAATCAGCCCGACACGCCTGCTGCCAGCACAGGGAGAGGGGGGGACATGATCAAAGGCAGCCAGGAACAAAGTCAGAGCTGTTCCTGCTCCCTGTCAGCATCAACCTCTCCATCCTCTGCTGCTGGGGGGACGGGGAGGTGGGTGCCCACCACACACGGGCTCTGAGCTGTTGTGTCAAGCCGTGGTCGGTCCCCGTAGCACCCTGTGCTGGGGTGGGAGCGAGCTGGGGACAAAGGCAGCAGGAGTAGGGCTGGGGGGGGGAACATCCTGCTCTGAGCTCAGCCCTGTGGCTGTGGCCAAGCCCTGCTGTGGCCGGGATGTGGCCGTGCTTCCTGCCGTGGCCCGTGCCAGCATTTGGGGATGAACAAAACAACAGCTGCTTTCCGGGCAGCCCCAGCAGGGCCCTGCACGCTTCCGGAGGGCAGCGGGGCCGGGGCGGCTCTGTGGCTCACGGGACAAGGCTGGGGGGCCAGGCACCCCCCCTGCCCGCTGCAGAACAAGAGAGGGATCAGTGACAGGCAATGGGAATAAGCCCCCCCGGTGCAGGGGTGGGGGGCAGGCAATTCAGGCACACTGTGCAGTGTGGGGCAGCATTCCTGCACCCACATCTGCGTCTCCACGGGTGCAGGCTCTAGGTGGGTCCCCAGGGTGACTTGGAGAAGGTCCAGTTCACAGCCTGCAGCCTCTCTCCCCCACCCCTGTCCCCAGGGACCCCAGCAGAGCTGCCAGCACTTTGCTGCCCCCCAAGTATCAGCACCTGAGGCAATCATAGAATGGTCTAGGTTGGAAGAGACCCTTGGGATCATCGAGTCCAACCATCTCCCCTACTCTACAAAGTCCTCCCCTACACCATGTCCCTCAGCACTGCATCTAAACGGCCCTTAAACACAGCCAGGGATGGGGACTCCCCCCCCTCCCTGGGCAGCCTGTTCCAATGCCCGACCACTCTTTGGGTGAAAAATTCTTTCCTAATGTTCAATCTAAACCTCCCCTGTTGGAGCTTGAAGCCGTTCCCTCTCGTTCTGTCACTAATTACCTGTGAGAAGAGACCAGCACCAACCTCTCTACAGTGTCCTTTCAAGTAGTTGTAGAGGGTGATGAGGTCTCCCCTCAGCCTCCTCTTCCTCAAACTAAACAGTCCCAACTCCCTCAGCCGCTCCTCATACGATGTGGGGCTCCAGCCCTAGAGCATCTTCCCCAGGAGGTGCTGGGTCCCGTGGCCGTGCTCAAGGCACCTCCGGGGGCCACGGGCAGGGATGTGCCCCTCGCCCACCCCTCATCACAGCAGGCTGGCACACCAAGACCCCCCCAATCGTTCCACAAGGGGGCTGCCGGGGGGCACCGCCGGGATTTTGGGGGGAAAACGGAGCCAGAGGACACCGGTACCAGGGGGTCCCCTAAGGAGGTGCATCCCCCGGGGCGGGGAGGGCCGGGGGGAGCCCCGGGAGGCGGCGGGGCGGACTACAGGTCCCGGCATGCCCGGCCGCGCTCCGCACCTGCCCGGGGAGCGGCTTTTGTTATCGGCGGGGCCGCGGGAGCGATGTACGAGGGCCCCGCAGCCGCCTCCGCGCCGGGAGCAGCGCCCAGCGGTGAGTGCGCCCCGGCACCCCCCGTGTACCGAGGTCCGGGACCCCCCGGTGTACCGGCACCCTCCGGTGTATCGAGGTGCGGGACCCCCCCGTGTACCGGCACCCCCCGGTGTACCGGTACCCTCCGTGTACCGAGGTCCGGGACCCCCCGGTGTACCGGCACCCTCCGGTGTATCGAGGTGCGGGACCCCCCCGTGTACCGGCACCCCCCGGTGTACCGGTACCCTCCGTGTACCGAGGTCCGGGACCCCCCGGTGTACCGGCACCCTCCGGTGTACCAAGATGCGAGACCCCCTGGTGTACCAGCACCCTCCATTGTACCGGCACCCTCCGGTTGTACCGAGATGCGGCACCCCCCGTGTACCGGCACCCTCCGTTGTACCGAAATGCGGGACCCCCCCGTGCACCAAGACCCGCCACCCCACGGGACCCCCCGGGGTACCGAGCCCTATCGCCCCCTGACATCCCCCGGGGGCTCCGAGCCCCCTGCTCTCCTGGTGTCCCGCCCCCCCCCTCCGGAACGCACCGTGTCCCTGTTGCCATCGGGTGCACCGACCTGCCCCCGGTGTCCTACATCCCCTCGGGGCACCGAGCCCCAGCACCTCCCGGCACCCCGAGTCCCCGGGCAGCTCCGGTGAGCGAGCCCTGGGCTCTGCCGGACCCCGCCGATCCCCCGGGGGTGTCACCTGCTGGAGCCGCCCAGAGAATTTGCCTTGTCTCGCCCCTTCTCCAGGCTCTTGGCTCCCCCTTTGGCCCCACTCCCACTCGTGGGCTCTGACACCCCTAACACATTTCCTACACTTTGCTGTCAAAGCCTTCACCCCTCTCCTGGATGGGATTTCCCCCTCCCTCGGCGTTAGCAGCTGGGGGTCCCAGGCAGGGACAGGGTCCTGGGGGTCCCAGGGGTCAATTTGGCCGCAGCAGTGACGGGCTGGGGAGGGGGCTCGGTGGTGGCCAGGGTCTGGCCACACTTTGTGGTCCTGGATGAACCAGGAAGTGTGTGTGGGAGCGGGGAGGGTGTTCCTGCTCTGCGGGAAGAGGCTGATGCCGCTGAGGATATTTCTGTGGGGAGAAGGGAACGGGGGGCTCAGTCCCTTGGGGTGTGAAGCCCATGGTGTGGTCGGTGGCAGTGAGGTCTGTGGCAGGGGGACAGTGTCAGGAGCTGGGGGTCACCAGGGAGCAAAAGCCATGGAGCTGGGCTCGGGGCTGGAGAGCCCGTTGTGGCTGGGAGCCAGGGGCCAGAGTCCATCCCTGGCGGCCTCAGGTGCAGGGAGAGACCTGTTTCTGAACGATGCTTCGGGCAGATGTTGCCTCCGGGGGTTGCCTGAGCATCGGGCTGGGATGGAGGGGGCTCTGGGAGCCGCAGCCTGGGGGTGCCTGTACCCTCCTCACACCACGGCAAGGATGGTCCCAGCTCGGGGGGGCTCTGCAGGGACCCCTCTGGGGACATCCCCAGGGCTGGGGGCAGGACAGCAGCTACCCCCAGCCCAGCGAGGGGACTGTACCACCGCCTCACGCGTTGGCCTTGCAGCCCCCCCAGCCCAGACACTTGCAGAGGCTCCTCGTAGCCCCCCCCTGACCCAACCCCAAGCTCCTGCCACAGCAGCTGAGGGGAAAAAATAGCCCGGAGGGAGCCCGGCCACCCCAGCTGCTGCCGACCCTCGGTGCTGGGTGGGGAAGGGGCTTCGTGTGGAGCCCAGCCCAGCCCAGCCCCACCGTGAGGCTGCGCAGGCCGGGAGGTGCCCGGGCAGGACCTGCATGACGGCATCGACGCAGGGCAGAGAGCAACCAGCACAGGTCTGCACATGCACCCGGGTGCTGACTGAGCCAGGGCCCCACTTCTGCTGGCCCACTACCGCCGGCCAGTGGCCCAGGTCCATCATCCTCCCGCTCTCCCCCCAGTGGGGCAGGTCCTGGGGTCATCCAGCAGCCCAACGCTGGTCTGGCCACGGGGGGACATTGGGGTCTGGGGTGCCGGGAGCTGCTCACACGTGTCTGAACAATGTCCCCCCATGGGGAGAGTTAAAGTACGTGCAGGAGCTGGGCCAGAAGGAGACGCAGGGCTCTGGCAGCCCCGGCCGAGTGCTGACTCACACACCGGGCTCCCTCCCCAGAGCCAGCGGCAGCCCGGCACCTCGGCACGGTGGGTCCCCTTCCTTCCCCGGGGAGAGGGTCCGTGGGTTTGGGGCTGGGGAGCTGTTCTCCAGGCGGCACGGAGCAGGGTTGGGTTGCCTGGTGGTCCCAGAGCTGTGGGGCAGAGGGCTGTGGGGCTGTGGGTGTGCTTCGGGGTGTCCCTGCGGCCTCGTGCCCGTCCTGTGTGCCGGGGAGGACATGACCTCGCTGAAGGGAGGTGCAGGGTGGCCTGGTCTGGGTGCTGCCAACGTGACAGCAGCCATGAGCACGTGCCGGGAGGGAGGGCAGCCATGCCCTGGGATGAACCTGCTCCCAGGGACGAGGGGCTGCTGGTACCAGAGTCCCCCCTGTAGCCGAGGTGGGACCAGGGGCAGAGATGGGGGCACAGGGCTTGTGCAGGAAGCTCCTGCCCCCCCAGGGCAGAGGGGCAGCAGTGCCAGCAGTGGCTGCAGCCCAAGTCGGGGACAGTGGAGGTGGCAGGAGAAGCAGGAACATGCTGTGTTTATGGCCTATCATATGATGTTTATGGATGGGATGGGACGGCTGTGGATGCTGCCCAGCCCTGCCCTGGGCGACACGGCAGGTCCCTGCTCCTCATCCTGCTGCTGATGGGGTGGAGGATCGCGACCGAACTTTGCTCTCTGAGGTGGGGCTCCCGAGGGTTCCCGCGAGAGCCGCCGGCACCACGGCCGTGTCCACCCACTGCCGAGCACTGTACGGCTCCTGCTCCTGCCCCTGCCCCCAGACAGGGACCCGGCTGCCAGCCTGGGGGGGAACAGGGTCCTGCCCGGTCCCTTCGGAGCATCCTCTCCCGCCTGGCGCTGATCCGGACATCACCAAGTCTCTGCCTTGGTGCTGAGCCCCGAGCAGGTACGCTGCCCCGGAGCCACCCCAAAACCTTCAGCAGCGAGCGGAGGCTGAGCTGGGACCTGCCTGGATGCTGGTCATCCCCGTGGTCCCCCTGTCCCCACAGCCACCACGGGCTGGCCAGGCAGTGGGGACACCCAAGCCCTGGTCCAGGTCTCTGCAAGCCCCTGGGCCTGGCAGATGCTGCCCCCGGGGGGGTTTGTTTGGCCAACCGGCAGGTGCTAGGGGACACGCAGATGCTAGAACATGTGGCTGGGATGCAGGATGTGTCCCCAGTCCCCAGAATGTCACCCTGACGGTTGCTTCTCCCCAGGCAGGGGCCAGAGAGGGGACTCCGCTGCCTGCCGGCATCGCTCCAGGGAGCCAGGGAGGAAGGGGCTTCTCCCCATGGCAGCCGCCCCCCCCACGTAACGCCAGCCAAACTGGACGCCGCCGTCCCACAAGAGACCCCCCCCGGCCAGCACCCACCCTCCTGCCACCTCCAACCCGGCCCGGACTCACCCAGTGCTGCCCTGCCCCACGCCAGCCCCGCGCCCCACGGGTCGGCCGCGGGTGGACGCCGTGATGCCGCGACCATCACCGGTGGGTAGAGCCGGGTGGGTGGCCCTGGGGACCTGGGTGAGGGGGGTGAGGAGATGGGACAGCTCCGGGCTGGTTCTTCGTCCTGTCCCCATGGTGTGGCTGGGGCTGAGCCACCGTCCTGGCCTCCCTGGCCCCACACCAGAGTCCCTGGCCCCACACCGGGGTCCCTGACCTGATGTCCCCGCTGTCCCCAGCGCCGCTCGGCCGGGCAGAGCGTGGCCAGGAGATGGCAGCAGGACCCTGCCCGCAGAAAGCCGATGGGGTGGGGGGGTCCCTGTGTGCCACCCTGTGGGGGGACCCCCTGTCCAAACACAAGTGACCACGGGGACAGACCCAGCTGGTGGCACCAGCCCCAAACCCTGAGTGGACAGGACCAGGCTGAGGGGTGTAGGAAGCGCCTTCCCTGCTGTGACACCTCCCCCCCCCGTACCCCCTTTCTACTGGGTGCCCCCCACCCTCGGCTGATGCTGTGCTCCTCTGGCCCCAGACTTGTGCAGCGGCGATGTCC